TTTCATAAATGTTGGCTTCCTTGCTGTATATTTCCACGGGACTTTCTTCAAGACAGGGACTATGTTGTATTTATCTTTCCATTACCAGCTCCCTGATGGAGATACTCAATAAATGAAATGAATGAATGAATGAAATGAATAAACTCTTCATTCTTGAATTTGTTTTTTGATTGCTCTCTTACTCTTACTCTAGTCTGTTAATATTTAGTTTTTAGATGTTACATTTTTCATGTATGATTTTCCATCTATGGTTTTAAGATCTACAGCTTTTGTAGTAAAGTAAGCTAAACAAAGATTGCCATCTTAGATAAATTACTAGCAAGTTTCTTTTCTCAGGTGCTATTTATACACAGGTTGTATAATTTAGGTAACTGGTTGCTACTTACCATCACAATTTAGTTACTATTGAGGCACTATTAATGTTGTGTTTGAGATGTTACAAATAAACAATAAAAAAATAACAAAAAAACAAAAAATAAATAAATAAACAAAAAACAAAAAAGAGATGTTACAAATAAGCAGTGAATGCATCTAATAAATTGTGTCTGTGAGTTAATAAATTGAAGCTTGTATGTATTTATGCCATTGAAGCTGGTATTTGTAGAGTTTGAGACCATTTTGAACCACATTTTACTACTTGCTGCATTTCACTACTTCTACCTCTTCATGACCTCTTCATGTGACACAAACTGCTAAGTTTTTTTATTGTGAAGTCACACTCCTAAATTAGAAAAGAACTAGAAATGAGACATATAAGACCCAAATCGAGTTTTATGGATCAGAGAATGAGTCACAGAGATCAGACTCCAACACATACCTCCCACTGTGTTTATTTTCTAGTTCTAAGTTCAAACTTGGATTTAGAAAAATACATGACTTGCCTCCCCATCAGTGTTTTAGCTCAGGCGTGGGTTAGGAAGGATATGTCAGAGTTAAGAAGGTATGTGGGTAGAAAGGTACATTTTGAAGTGGTGAGTGTCTTTATGGTTACACTTGTCTTTGTCGGGAAGTGGCCGTGGGAGCTGAGAGTGTGATGTCTCTTGACAGGGAGTGGAGCTTGAACAGAATTTTTCTGCATAATCTTCCAAATTCATTATTTTAGATAGGTCTTGAAAAATGATTTTCAAACTGTTACATTCTACAGAACCTGCATCTAGATCGTTTCTTGGGGGAATATGTTTATTAGGGGGTATTCACTTCTCCAATTTTCTAAGGACTCTTGTGCAAACAAACTCTAGCTGAGCCCTAAGAATCGGTGAGCACTGCGACTGCTCCATGACCGTTGCCAGTGAGTTGGTAAAATCAGAGCTTTCATCTTTGCTCTGCTCTGGTGGTAACAATAGCCCCAGGGTTCCCATTTCTGTGCTGGACAGGAGCATTACCTACATTATCTCACTTGATCCTCTCCATAATCCCGAGAGGGAGGGGTAATATAATCCCTATTTTACACATGAGGAAACTGAGCCTTAGAATTAAATCAATGGCCTGAGATTGTACCACTACTAGTGTCAGAGCTGAGACTCCGTTCAGCGGTTACTCTCAGTCCCCAAGAGTTGTTCATTGCTGCCATCCGTGGGTGGTTCGGTCAGTGGATAATAATTTACATGTGTGTTCTAGTACATTGTTCAGGACCCTTCTGTCCTACCTGTTAATTGTTTGCTTGGGCTTGAAATGGCTCAAGGAACAGATGAGGTGTGGTAGTCACAGATGGGCCCCCCCAAAGATGTTCCTGTCCTAAGCCCCAGAACCTGTGAATGTTATCTTACATGCCAAAAAATATAATTAAGGATTTTGAGAGAGGGGAAATTATTCTAAACTACCAAGTAAGTTCAAAATAATAGTAATGGTCCTTATAAGTGAAAGAGGGAGGCAGGGTCAGAGGAGATGTGGTGACTGAAGTAGAGGTCAGAGTCATGCAATCGTGGGCGGGAGCAGCCTCTAACAGGGGTCCTCAAACTTTTTAAACGGGGTCAGTTCACTGTCCCTCAGACCCTTGGAGGGCCGTTGGAGAGTGAGGCGCACATTACACACATGCACACTGTGGGCCCAGGAGGAGTTAGCTGCTAAGCAGGACAGGCAGCAGCGACAAAAACACCCATCCGGCCGGCCGGATACATGTCCTCGGCAGGACACATGTGGCCTGCGGGGCCGTAGTTTGAGGACACCTGCTCTAGAAGCTGGAAAAGGCAAAGAAACAGATTCTCTCCCTACAGCCTCCCAAAATAATGAAGCCTTCCTGGCACTCCTTGATTTTAGCCCTGTAAGACTTATGTCTGACTTCTGACTCCAGAAATATAAAGAAAATAAAGTTGCATTGTTTTAAGCCATTAAGTGTGTGGGAAATTGTTACAGTAGCAAATAGGACATTAATACACATGGTGTCTGACATTCAGATCCCTCCCCTACCCAGGGGCCAAAATTTACACAGCAATGATTGGTAATGCTGCCCTTGACCAAGTGGTGGTAAGTTCTGGTTATAACTCACAGGAGTGAGGAGAGGGAGCTGCTACCGGTCCTGAGGTTCTCAGAGTCATCCTCTCAAGGGTATGTAGAAAGGCCTCACAATCTTCAGGAGCTTCCTTTTTGTTCTCGTCATAGCATTAAAGCATCTTACATTTATTATTTCAGCATCTATTGAGTACCTACTATGTTCCAGGTTGCAGAAACTCAAAGATGAGTAGGACTTAGATCCTTAAGTAGCTTACAGTGCAGTAGAGTGGCCGAACACATAAACAATATAATGCCACAAAATATATGCAAGGACAAAAATATCTTCAGGAAAAGAATCCTAGAGCACGGGAGGTGCAAACTCTGGGAAGAGGAAAAGGGACCAGGAGGTTTGGAAAGTGGTTGATGTTAGAGCTGGAGGGTATCAACATCTTTGGAATCTCCAGCTTTGATGGAAGAGGCTCTGACACCTAATCTAGGTCCCCATGTCACCAGACATGGTCTCTACCTATGCTACTACAAATCTTCATCGATTTGGAAGAGGAAGAATCCAAGAAGGAAAAGAGTTGCTAATACCCACACATAGCAGATGATCAGAGGTCTGGAAATGCATTCTCTATGACTTTCTTGGAAGTTCAAGAGAGATAAAGTGAGAGGTTTCATAAGCGATAGTGGATCAACTAAATATAAAGTATTATCTACTTGCTTTGGATGCATGCTTAGACACTGGGAAATTTCTTCCCAATTTTGTTTTTAAGTCAATCTTTCAATTAAGAAAACAAACCCAGCTGGGCGAGGTGGCTCAGGCCTATAATCCTAGCTCTCTGGGAGGCTGAGGCGGGCAGATTGCTCCAGGTCAGGAGTTCGAAACCAGCCTGAGCAAGAGCGAGACCCCCGTCTCTACTATAAATAGAAAGAAATTAATTGGCCAACTAATACATATAGAAAAAAAAATTAGCCAGGCATGGTGGCACATGCCTATAGTCCCAGCTACTCCGGAGGCTGAGGCAGAAGGACCGTTTGAGACCAGATGTTTGAGATTGCTGTGAGCTAGGCTGATGCCACGGCACTCTAGCTGGGGCAACAGAGTGAGACTCTGTTTAAAAAAATAAAAAAATCCAAGATGCAGACATAAAAGTAGGTCTGTGTTTCATGGGCAACACCTAACATGCTCCATTTAAAATATATTAAATTTTGCCTCAGGGTGGTGGCTCATGCCTGTGATCCTAGCTACTTGGGAGGCTGAAGCAGGAGGATGGCTTGAAACCCAGGAGTTCGAGACTGTAGTGAAACATGATTATGCCATTGCAACCCAGCCTGGTCAACAAAGCAAGACCCTTCTCTAAAAATATATATATATATTTTAATTTTGGACATAAGAAGTTATCACACAATCTAGGGCAAACTCCCTTTATGATATTCCATCCCTAAACTTAATCCTGAGACCACCACATATGCACCATTTCTTACTGTATATGAGAACTAATATACACAGAAACTGAAATCTAACGCTGGAAAAGACCTTAAAGATAATTTAATGACAGACTGTCTTACAGACAAGCAACCTGAGGTTTGGAGAGGTTAAGAGAGACTTTCAAGGTTACAGAGATGGGGCAATGCCAGGAATAATACTCAACCCAAAGTTCTTGCTGCACACCACATTTCTGGGTTCGTTTGTTTCAAGGTTTTACCTGTACTTGCTTCAGACTAACAATTTTTAGTGCATATCATGTTCACAAAATAAATTTAACTATTGATCAGAGCTTAAATTCATCCTACTAATTTTACAAATGAAGAAAGTGAGGCTAAAATGGCAAACATTTAGGAGAAAAGGTAGCATTTTTCATTATAAGCAGATAAGCACATAAAGTGTTTCGTTAGTACACTTTGGTTATCAACTCAGTGTTAAGACTTTATTAAAATTTTCCTCAAAGTATAAAGTGACAATCATTTCTGTGATAAATGGGATACAATTTATCAAAAAAGTTAGAGAAGCTGTCTTGGCTCAATGCATGGGCTTTGCTAGAAAAGGTTGGGTCAGCTTATTTGACGTCAGCTGCTATAGCTGAGGCTTCATGAAGAGACATGGAGAGTACAGTCCCTTTCCTATGAAGTACAAAAGGATATTACCAAGGAATGTTACTACCTAATTTTTCTCTATCATTATTATTATTTCAACTACACACTTTTGAAAAGTGATTTTCCAACTCTGCTTATCATTGGCAGCAGGGCGCAGGGAGGAGTATCCCTTATAGTATTCTCATTTAATGGAAGGAAAGAAATCTAAACAATTCATGCAAATTTGCGGTTTTCCAAAAAAAAAAAAAAAACCAAACACGTTGAAATCCAGCCTCTATCAGTGGAAACCATGTGTAAATTCTCCTCACACGCGCCCCAACCCTGAGAGCAGGGCCGCGTGGAAACGCCCCTCCGGGAGTCCAGCGCTTTCCCCCGGCGGCTGACGGGTGATGCCCAGGGGCTCGAAGCGGCCCGGCCAAGTCCCCGGGCTGTGCGACCGCCGCGCCGCCGCCCGGGCCTGCAGGGCTCGCGCTCCGGGGTCAGGCCGAGGACGCGGGCTGGCGGGGGGACGGGGCCGGGGCCGGGGCTGGGCCCGGCCGGGAGCGGGGCGGCGCCCGGGGGGACCGGGCGTGCCCACGTGACCGCCCCGCCCGCCGCCTGCGGCCGCCGCGCCCCGCCGCCTCGCTCGGGCTGCAGCTGCCGGCGTGCCCCGCACTAGCCGCTGCTCGCCCCTCCCTCTCCTCCCTCTCCTCCTCCCAGTGCCACAGAGCCGGAGCTCGAGTCGCCGCCGCAGCCACCGCCGCGGACACTATGGTAAGGCGGGCGCGCCGACCGGGAGGCCGGGGCGCGACGAGGAAAGACCCCTGCGCGGCCCTGGGAGTGAGGCCGCCATTTTAACCTGATTTTGGCCTCCGAGGTGGGCGCTTCTACGCTGCGGCCCCGCTGCTCTGTTATGCGACCGGCCTGCCCTCCCGCCTCAGGCCCGGCCCTGCCGCTCTTGGGGATTCCTGGGGGCTGGGGGAGCCCCGGGACCGGGGCGGGTCGGGGTCGGGGCCGGGGCCAGGCGGCCGGGGGCGCGGCAGGGTCCGCCAAGTGCAGCCGTGCGCGCGCCGCGTTCGCCCTTCGCTTCCTGATTTTACTTAACACGCGCTCTAAAATCGATACGTGCTCTGAAGGCTTTGGCTCAGGGTCTGGAGGGCCTATAATACAACCCTTACGGGGAGATTCAGAAGGTGGGAAAACTCTTTTTAAAATGCTTCCTCGGGGTAAAAAGCTTTTACACGCGACCGGTTAGTTTTGAAGCGTCTGCATTTGGGCTCTGGGGCGATTATGTTGTAGCCGTGGGCGGTTTGGAGTTTACACTCGATTCTCTTTCCTTATGAGGAAACGTCAGTGGCTGGGATGACTTTAAAGAAAAAAATAGTAGAAGCATTAACTGAAATCCAAAAGTGTTTTTTTAAGGCCCGCAGAGTTGACACAATACAGAAGGTATTTTTGCTGCTGCTCCTGAAGCTCTGACATCACCCAGTGAAATAGGAAACATTTCAGGGATGGGACAACTTGTATTTGTCCCTTTCGCTCTACCTTTTCCATTCGCTACTACGTCCAAACCTCTTTAAGAAGGATGAATGACAGGATGAGTTAGAATCTTTCGGTGTATCATACACTGATTTTTAAAATGTGACAAATCTGATTGTATTCCTTGCGTGGTACGGTGCAATTTTTGATGTTCAGTGAATCCTCTATAAGCAAACAGTAATTTTGATTAAAACCAAAATATGTGTTCTGAGTTACTGTTCTTTGTTTATTTTCAGGCTTCTGGAGTTACAGTGAATGATGAAGTCATCAAAGTTTTTAATGATATGAAAGTAAGGAAATCTTCTACACAAGAGGAGATCAAAAAAAGAAAGAAGGCAGTTCTCTTCTGTTTAAGCGATGACAAAAGACAAATAATTGTAGAGGAAGCAAAGCAGATCTTGGTGGGTGACATTGGTGATACTGTAGAGGACCCCTACACATCTTTTGTGAAGTTGCTACCTCTGAATGATTGCCGATATGCTTTGTACGATGCCACATACGAAACAAAAGAGTCTAAGAAAGAAGACCTAGTATTTATATTCTGGTGTGTAAAAACAAAAGAAAAAAGTACTTTTAAAATGCAAGGATTATTATTATCATAGTCAGTCTTACCTTTGTTTTTCTTATAAATGGGATTCAACAATTGTTTTTTGTTTTTTTTTTTTTCCTGTAGGGCTCCTGAAAGTGCGCCTTTAAAAAGCAAGATGATTTATGCTAGCTCTAAAGATGCCATTAAAAAGAAATTTACAGGTACAAACATTGACTATTTTGTGCAGAGAAATTACTCTTTCTTGATAATAGTGTAGTGGGTTAATGTTTTTACTTTTCTTTTAGGTATTAAACATGAGTGGCAAGTAAATGGCTTGGATGATATTAAGGACCGTTCGACACTTGGAGAGAAATTGGGAGGCAATGTAGTAGTTTCACTTGAAGGAAAGCCATTATAAAATGACAGTCAAGTGCCATCTGGATCTTAAGGAGCTTCCATTTCTCCAGCTCAGTCCTCGGAATAGTATTAGGTTTTGTGGGTTTTTTTGTTTTGTTTTATTCCCCTTTCCACTGGGCCCTTCCAACACAATGAATGAAGGAGATACCATTCATTTAAGCAGCCTATCAGTGATTGCCATTAGACTGTTTAATACTGTTACTTTTATGTAGAGCCTAAGGAATGCCTTCTTGTTATATTTTAGCCAAAACCCCTACAGCAAGCACTACAATGAATGTGTTTGTCAATGTGAATAGCTTAGAATACTGCAAAGGGTAAGCTAATTGAATGCCTTGAAAGTATTATCCACTGGTCAGATGGTAAACTTTTTTCAGTATTATTTAAAGTTCCACTTGATTGCAGTCTGAGGCTCGAGCATTGATACACCTCACCTGCCTTGGCAAGGCTATATTTGTGACATGGCAGCACGGATATAACACTATGCATTAAAAGCACTTTTTTGTAACAAGTTTAATCTTCCAAAAGGAATGCCAATTAAGTTTCGTTAACTGTGTCATCAATTTATCCTAGTACCTCAGTGTTCATTCCTGTTACCTGCATATCTTAAAAGAAATAGCTGTTATTAATGCCTTTTTGTTTTCTGTTGTGTGTACACTACTGAGTAAGTATAGGAGTTTTATGTTTACCATGTGAATCCTGCAACACTAAAGATACTTTGAATATCAGTCATGATGGCAATTTCTGTATAAAAGCGCCTTAAATGGAACATTGTTTTGAGATCAGACTCCCCACCCTCACAAAAATGGCCACGTTGCAATAAAAATTGTGGCATATTATAGAATGTTGCCTTGTTTTCCTTGGAAATTTTGCAAATGTTATGTGAAACCACTTCTAGGGTAAACAGCTATTATTAATCTCTGCACTGGTAATTTGTGAATTTTTTGTACAACATTCATGCATGATATTTTCCATATTTGTTGGATTTGTTTGCTTTTGAAAAATATTCTATTCTAAAGCCAACATAAAATACCATTGTTAAAGGGTGATACTTTTATAAACATTAGTTTATTTATTTCCTTATGTGTTAATACAGAAATCAGAAATTATTTTTTGCACTTTGACATACTCTTTAGTATCTGATTTGTTCTCTGGATAAATTAGCATAGTTATTTTTTTATTCACGTTTACATTTCTAAGTAGTTGTGTAGTAGAAGCAGGAAGCTCTCAACTGCTTATTTGGTCATAAGGAAAATAATTTATAAAATGTCCTTCAAAAGTTTAATGATACTTCTGATGTTTAAGAATGTTCATTTCAGCTAATATTTCTTAATATATTTTGCAAATTGAATTGGAATAAGGAATTGATATAGCAGTCTTAAACTTTAGTAGTAGGATTTGGCTGTGGTCCAGACTGCTCTCCTTATAGAGAATTTGATCTGCTCAGTGTGAGCGGTTTGCTGTTAGCCAGAGCTATTTATGGCAAACACATGCTTTTGTATCTTGTCATAGTTATCCACAAATGGCAAAACTGGACTTGATTCTACTGGTATGCAAAACAGGCATGCTGTAAGCAGTCAGTCGTGGCTCAGAACTTAACCCCATAGCTCTGAAGAATGCTTTTATCAGAAAACAGGAAATGAAAATATCCCTTTAAAAAAATTTTTTTAATATGTGGAAGTAATTTGAGTTTGATTAGATTTTTTTCCATATTTTTCAGAGATTTTTCAGATGAGAACATTAAAAATAGGACTTAAATGTCTAGGCTTCCATTTAAAATTATATGAATGGTTTGGGATCCTTTTGTACTGAGCAATTTTATTTCAGGCTTACAGCTGTCCCCGTGAGTTATTCTGGACATTTCAATGACTTTTTGGTAAGGCCAAACTCTAATAAGCAAAGAGAATACTGATATATACTAAACCATATATGCAAATGATATTTGCACCATGACATTTTTTTTGTTATTTTCTGATTCTTTTAAAAAAAATACGGGACTATAAATCAGTTATATAGTAGCTTTTGTTTTTATAGCTGATTCCTCAACTTCCTCATATGCCTCTTTATATAATATCAGAGATTAAATACTGCTTTAAACTATGATACTTTGATTTGTTAGATTGACAAAACTGACATTATTATAGTTAAGTTCATCTTTGAAGTACATCTTTGTGCATAGAGCCAAAAAAAAGATAAAATTAATAATGGTTCATGTGTTGTTTGAGACTAATTTGGCATTTGAAATTATCATTTTATTTTACAATCATTTACAATGAAACAATGTTCCAGTTAGCTTTAAAGGTGTACGGTGCTAATTAGTAAAATATTGAGGGCAATATTTTACTGCTAGCTTGCAAAATTATAAGTTTAAAAAATAAAATATGAAAATATTTAAAGCTGTTGAAATGTGTTTACTTATAATTTGAGACATTAAAAGTTTTAAAATTGACATTGCAGATCAAAGAGGCACCATTACCTTTAGTTTGTTTTTCAAGATTTTAGTTAGTGTACTTTCTCATTTAGCAATGCCACGTTTCTTTGAAAACTGAGTATTATAGCAATTAATTTTAGTATTTTCAGAAAAATGGGAACAGTTGGCATTTGTCCTAAACTGGCTATCAGCTGTTGTTTTCTATCATTATCTAAAATAGTGTGGCCAGCATTGTGTATTTAATGTACGTTTTTAGAAGATTGGAAGAAAAGCCTCTTACTAGGTTTGAGCTACTCTGATATACAATCTTTGTAGCAGCTAATTTATGGAATCTGGCAAATGAGATTTGGGAGAAAATTCTTTTAAAAGTATTTTCTTAGTAAGGAATAATCTCAGCAATGGTAAATCATTGAGGGGTTGAGAATACTTTTCATTAGGTTTGCCACACTGAAAGAACAATCTTGTTCTCTTCATGGGTCCTATTTTTGCTTGCAAATTTAATAGTAGCTGGAGATGCAAAACAACATGAATATTCATTTTCTGTGAATAGTATTAAAGCTACTAGAGATGTGCAGGCAGACTCCAATTAATATTGCTTTTAAGACAGCATGAGTTTATGGATGTTATGTGTATCTTACCAGCCAATAAAGAAGTCTGAGGCTTTTCCTTTGCTGTGGAGCATCCAAATAATTGCTTTCTTATAGATTGAGAGTCATCCCTCCACTTCAGTTTCCTTTTATAACACAGTCAGACAAATCTCTGGAGCCTCAGTTTCTTACCCCAAAATATAGAAATGATAATGTCTGTCTATCATAGCTGATTGCTGAGCATCAAATATGTACATGCTTTTTTTGAAAACAGGAATATCCTATATAAATACAATAATTTGTTTAAACCATTCATTCTTGTTTTTTTTTAATTTTAATTTTATCAACAGACATGCTAGCTAACATTCTTTTTTTTTTTTTTGAGACAGAGCTCACTCTGTTGCCCAGGCCAGAGTGCTGTGGCATCAGCCTAGCTCACAGCAACCTCAAACTCCTGGGCTCAAGCAATCCTGCTGCCTCAGCCTCCTGAGTAGCTGGGACTACAGGCACACACCAACATGCCTGGCTAAATTTTTCTATATATTTTTAGTTGGCCAATTAATTGCTTTCTATTTTTGTAGTAGAGATGGGGTCTTGCTCTCGCTCAGGCTGGTTTCGAACTCCTCACCTTGAGCTATCCACTTGCTTCAGGCTCCCAGAATGCTAGGGATTATAGGTGTGAGCCACTGTGCCCAGCCTTTAGTTGGCCAATTAATTTTTCTATTATTTATTATTAATACCCTAAATTTATGTAGGCCTTCATAGTTTTCAAGTCACTTTAAATCTGTCTGATTGTTTTAGGTTCTCTTACCAGCTAACCATATTTTTTCCACTACACATGAGGAAACTGAAGTTTGGAGAGGTTAAAGGACATTCCAAACTATTGAATAGCAAAGCTAATCCACATGGGACTGCATGTACATTGTAACATACTGTATTTCTTTCTTTTTTTTTTTTTTTGAGACAGAGTCTCACTTTGTTGCCCAGGCTAGAGTGAGTGCCATGGTGTCAGCCTAGCTCACAGCAACCTCAAACTCCTGGGCTCAAGCGATCCTCCTGCCTCAGCCTCCCGAGTAGCTGGGACTACAGGCATGCACCACCATGCCCGGCTAATTTTTGTATATATTTTTAGTTGGCCAATGAGACGGGGTCTCGCTCTTGCTCAGGCTGGTTTCGAACTCCTGACCTAGAGCAATCCGCCCGCCTCGGCTCCCAGAGTGCTAGGATTACAGGCGTGAGCCACCGCGCCCGGCCTGTATTTCTTTTTTGAAAGATGGAATAATCTGATATTTTGAGCAAGAGAGGACTACTAGTTATTTAGTATGTTTTTAAAATAGCATCATTCCAAGAATATTTGAAAAACAGTCAAGGAGTTTTTGTTTTCTAAGAAAGCTCATACTTATAAAAATCTGAAATATTTTTATATTTCAAAGATTTTCTTAAATGTTTCAGTATTGTAAATGTATAGAATTGTGGGAAACATAAGGATTGTACAGCCACATTTTACAGAAGGCTGGTATCTCTGAATCCTTTTCCAAAAACTTGGATATCTCCCTCCCCATGTTCCCCTATCCATCTTCTAAGGAAAAAGAATACTATATTGTGGTTAAGTGCTTGGACTTAGACATCAGACTGTTTGGGTTGTTCACATACAGGCCTTTAACACTTACTAATTGAATGATCTCAGGCAAATCACATAACCTCTCAAACCTTTAGTTGTTCCATTCCTAAAATGGGGATAATAATTATACCCCATCTCATAGAATTGTAAGGACAAATGAAAGTACTTGGAATAGTTCCTAGCATACAGTGAGTGCTCAGCAGACTGATCCTAAGATTTACATTCCAAACCAGGACACTTCTTGAGAGTGAAAGGGAGAGCTATTGATCATTACACCAGGACAACAGGCTTAAAATGTGCCAATCCTAAGCAAACCAAAAGATGTGGTCCGGAAGTATAGGCTGGTATTGAAATGTAATGCTTAAATAGAATGAGTTGTACTAAAGACTCAAGATCATCATTTATTAGGTATATTATATAACTCATGCTGACTTGAGGAATCTCATGAGATATATGATTGTTCTTAAGTAATCTCAGGAGGATTGAATTTGGCTTTTTATGCTTTTTTTTATAGTTTTTCTTTTGACTTCCATACTTACAAACTGTTAGATACTGTATTTTGCTATTATTGTCAGTATGCTTTGTCTGTAGCAGCTTCTACTAATTATTGCTTTTCATCACCTGTGGGTGTGGAAAACCAGGTTTGTTACAATTGTGTATGAGAAAGTGAATGCATCCAGAGCCAGAGTTTGAGAGCAAAATGCCTGAGCACATGAACTTTATTCCTTTAGGCTGTTTTAAAGAACTTTGTGTTGTATTTTCTGGGTTTTGATTTTATTTCTTTTTTAAATAAGGAAGGTTTGTGAAAGAACTGACCTATAGATAAAGGAAGCATTACTGTATCATAGGTGTCTAAAATATCATTGATATTTAAGGAAATCATATTTCTTTTTGTACTGGTATCTTTGAGACACACAAAGGAATTTGTTTTCATTGTTAAGAGAAGGAAGGTTTATTCTTGATCCTTTTTTTTTTTCCTTAGAGACAGGGTCTCACTATGTTGTCCAGGTCTTGAACTCTTGACCTCAAGTGATGCTCCCGCCTTGATCTCCCAAAGTGCTAGGATTATAGACATGAGCCACCTTGCTCAGCCCAATACTTTTTGCTTATTGAAACAAATACATAATAAGATATGAGAACAAGTATTTGATAAAGTAATCTTTGAAAATATAAAATGCCATTTGACTTTCTCTTAGTTTATTTTATTAGATTTTTCTTACATGTTCTCTAGACATACTCATTAAGAGGTAGCTTTGGGTTTTTTTGTTTGTTTTTGAGAAAGAGTCTCACTTTCTTGCCCAAGCTAGAGTGAGTGCCGTGGCGTCAGCCTAGCTCACAGCAACCTCAAACTCCTGGGCTTTAGCAATCCTCCTGCCTCAGCCTCCCCAGTAGCTGGGACTACAGGCATGCACCACCATGCCCGGCTAATTTTTTCTATATATATTAGTTGGCCAATTAATTTCTTTCTATTTATAGTAGAGACGGGGTTTCGCTCTTGCTCAGGCTGGTTTCGAACTCCTGACCTTGAGCAATCCGCCTGCCTCGGCCTCCCAGAGTGCTAGAATTACAGGCGTGAGCCACTGCGCCTGGCCAGAAGGTAGCTGTGATACTCTTCATGTAGACCCTTCATTCATTCTTGACTTCTGATGGTTAATTTTATTATGCGCAGAACAATTTAGTAGTTTATTTGGCATAACAGAAAAATTTAGAACAGATTTTTATGCACATGAATTGTCATTTTCCCACAGAAGTAAAAAAGCTCTTACGTTCATGGTGTTGTGGCATATTTTCTCTCATTTTATGTGTTCTTAATAGTGGAATTTCAAATATTTCCCTTGGGAAGTTGATAGTTACTGAGTAAACTACAAAATTTCTGGGCATATGGCCCAAAGCCTCTTTAATATGTGTTCCTGTGAGCTGATAGAGGCTTTTTTTTTAATCAACTGAAAACTAAATCACTAAATAAAAGGAAAGGTGGTTCCCAAATTGGCATAATTGAGCACAGTTTTATAAAAGAAAAGGCAGCAGAGTATTTTATAAAAATCATAAAACTTTGTTATACCACACAAGAAATAAGATGATGTGAAAAGTATCTTGTTCCATGAAACAAGTGGAAAATAATTTTATGTGAGGAATAAATTAATGTTTAGACCTTTTATGTGTAAGATACTAATAGATCAAAGACTGAGAGAAAAAGAGTGACATTTCCTTTACTTATGACTGCTTATTGACAATTTGAAGGAATGTACAGAATTTTAAATGTATATAGTTTTCATTTTAAAAAGTCTTTTATGTGAGGGGGAAGGGGATAAGAAGCTAACAATATGGTGTTAAGAATTTTCCTAACTTGAAATACATTTAGATTTTAAAATGTACCTGGGTTTTGGGGGGCAGGTTTTAGGCATAAAGGTAAAAGAAAACAGAGGCTGAGGTGGGAGTATCGCTTGAGCTCAGGAGTTTGAGACCAGCCTGAGCAAGAGTGAGACCCCGTCTCTACTAAAAATAGAAAAATTAGCAGGCTGTACTGGTGGACAACTGTAGTCCCAACTACTCAGGAGCCTGAAGCAAGAGAATCACTCGAGCTCAGGAGTTTGAGGTTGCAGTCAGCTACGATGACACCATTGCATGCACTTCCACTATACCCAGGGCAACAAAGTGAAACTCTGTCTCAAAAGAAAAAATAAAGGAAAATAAAATGTTGACTTATAATTATTTTTATGTTTTTGTTTGTGTGTTTTGATACAGGCTTTC